GAAAGTCGGGGTCTTTTTCATTCTGTTTCAGATATGGCTTTTTACAGTGGCCTTTAAGAGGAGAGAGAGTCGTTAGAGATTGATCTAAATTGCACAGTCTTCCCATTGGGCTACAGCCAGTCTTCCTCCCTGAGGAGGAAAACAAGCAGGAATAGTGAACTAGGTGGTAATTTGGAGCAAACTGTGTCTGTGGTATACTTGCAGCACGTCTTAAATGTTTTCTGTCCTGACCTTGAAGCGGAGAGCAGAGGTTAATGTCACACAGTGATTTTGCTGGCTGCCTCCTTCCACAGAACTATGAAGAAGCTCTGTGCTACATTGGGAAACTGCCTTTTGATCAGGCAGAGAGCAACATGAAGCGGTATGGAAAAACCCTGATGCACCAGGTCCCTAACAAGACCACAGAATTGCTGAAGGTCCTTTGCACTGATTACCGGCCACTGGGAGACAGTGAAGGCCCCGGGATGCTGGAAGGAAGAAAGGTACAGTTTGTGCTGGCTGGGAGTTATGCTCTCGAGTAGTAGCTTTGCAGCAAGCAAGCGCTCCTGCGTGCTTTGTGATGCAGGCCTGATGCTTTAGGTATAATGAGAAATGAACCTCAGTATACTCCACTGTTGTGAAACCCCCACCTGGAGCACTGTGTCCAGCTCCGGAGCCCTCAGCACAGAGAGCACGTGGACCTGTTGAGCAGGTCCAGAGGAGGCCACAAAAATGATCAGAGGGCTGAAGCCCCTTTTCCAGGAGGACAGGCTGAGGGAGCTGGGCTTGTTCAGCCTGGAGAAGAGAAGCCTCCCAGGAGAACTTAGAACAGCTTCTGGTGCCTAAAGAGGGCTTTTATGAAAGGTGGAGGCAAACTTTTTAGCAGGAATAGTTCGAGAGGTAATAGTTTTTTAGTAAAAGAGGGTAGATTTAGACTAGCTGTGTATGAGGAAATGTTTTACACTGAGGGTGGTGAAACACTGGAACACGTGGCCTGGAGAGGTGGTAGATGCCCTGTCCCTGGAAACATGCAGGGTCAGGTTGGATGAGGCTTTGAGCAACCTGATCTAGTTGAAGATGGCCCTGCTCACTGCAAGGGGGTTGGAGTAGGTGACCTTCGAAGGTCCTTTTCAACCCAAACTGTTCTATGAGAAGCCCCGTCCTGGTGTACTGGTATTTCCAGAGACCACTTAAAAACTATTGCTCAGAAATGATTCCTGTTCCATGCTGTATCTGTCACACTGCAGGCTCTGGGAACGAGTGCTCCACATGGCAGGGAAGAAGCACCCATCTGGCTGAGGCTGAGCTCAGTGCGTGACTTGTTCTGGTTGTGTTACAGGCTAATTCGGAGGAATTCATTCCGGTCTTTGCGAACAACTCCCGAGAACTGAAGGCTTTTCTGGAGCACATGACTGAGGTGCAGGCTGACTCTCCACAGGGTGTCTATGACACTTTACTGGAACTTCGACTCCAGAACTGGGCACATGAACAAGATGAGCAGGTTTGAGCTCCTCCAGCTTTGTGTTCTGAGAGGGAGATTTGGTGTCTTTGAATCCTAGTTGTGTTCGTGCCAACCCGTAACCTTCCCAGGTGACATTGATAACAAGACATAACATTGTGCTGGACAAACGGGATGTGAATGGGAAAGCAGCCTGCTTGCTGGGAGAACACTCCTTTCAGTGAGGCTGAGCTTGTTTTGTATGAATCTCATTTAAGAACAGATTCCAGACAATACAACCTCTGTGGGCAGATGCCTCTCCCACAAAAGTAGCTCTATTTGCTTGCCTAGATCTCTGAGGATGCTGGCTGCTGAGTGAAAGAAATCATGTCCTGCTTCCTTAAAAGGGATAGAGGGCAAACAGCAAAACTGTCCTCCTCTTTGAAAGAGCTGCAGATTCTTGTCAGGTGTTATTGCAAAATGTTCTCTGTGCACCCGTTGCTTTCCGTGACTTCTCCCCCTCCTCTATAGATCAAGGAGAAGCTGCACAATGAAGCCCTCACCCTCCTGAAGAGTGGAAGGTTCAAAACAGTCTTTGATAAGGCCTTGGTCTTATGTCAGATGCACAATTTCAAGGATGGTGTCCTCTACCTCTATGAGCAGGGCAAACTGTGAGTGTTGCTCTTGTCTGTAGAGTCCTGTCCCTCCACCCGCTCCCCTGCACGAGAATTTCTGAGCCATAAACCTGCCTGCCTTACAATACAATGGTAACGACCTCTTTAGTATCTCAAGATACTTTCTCCCATAGTTTCCAACAGATCATGCACTACCACATGCAGAATGAGCAGTACAAGAAGGTGATTGAGGTGTGCGAGTTGTATGGAGACCAAGAGGCTTGTCTCTGGGAGCAGGCTCTCGGCTACTTTGCACGGAAGGAGGAGGACTGCAAAGAGTATATTGCTGCGGTGCTGAAGCACATCGAGAATAAGAATCTCATGCCTCCGCTGCTTGGTAGTAATGACATGTGGCACCCAACCTTTCCCCGCCAAAGAAACCCCAAACTAGCTTATAGCATTCCCTGGAGATCAGAAATTTGGGAGAAGCATCTACATGTTGAGCCCACCATTTGAAGTAATAACCTGCTGTACAGGGAAAAGCTGTGCCAGTCACAGCTCCCTAGTTAGGAAAAACAATCTGTGGTGTCAGTCGTAGAGATGTCTGTACTTGATTTCTGTTCTGGCAGTGTGGGGAGGTGGAGGGCTTGCTGAAACTCCTGCTCTGCCTTGGTGGAGAAACTGGAATGGAATCCAGTATACTAGATCCTTGCTTTGCCCCTTTTGGTCTGAGCTATCCAAACAAGCTCCCAGTTACCCATTCCTGAAAGAGGTCAAATTGCAGTCGGCTCTTTAAATGAGCTTCCTGAGTCATTGAGAATGCTGACTGCCTGTGCCTGTGGAAGTGGCCTTCTACAGAAAAGCCAGGTATGATTAATGTGGTTGTGTTTTTTTTTGCTGGTGTTTAAACTAACTTCTCGATTGCTCTCAGTTGTGCAGACGCTGGCTCATAACTCCACAGCCACACTGTCCGTGATTAAGGATTATCTTGTCAACAAGCTGCAGAAGCAGAGCCGCCAGATAGAGCAGGATGAGCAGAGAATTCACAAATACCGAGAAGAAACTACAAGGATCCGCCAGGAGATCGAAGAGCTAAAAGCAAGGTGCAGTACCACGTGCTCTTGTCTTACGTAGGACAGAACTGTCCTTTTATTAAAAAAAAATACACTTTGGCTTTCTCACCCTTTTGCCTCCTCTCGCTCTCACAGGCCCAAGATCTTTCAGAAGACCAAGTGTAGCATTTGTACCAGTGCGCTGGAGCTGCCTTCAGTCCACTTCCTGTGCGGTCATTCCTTCCACCAGCATTGCTTCGAAAGCTACTCCGAGAGCGATTCGGAATGTCCTACGTGCATGCCAGAAAATCGCAAAGTGATGGACATGATCCGAGCCCAGGAGCAGAAGCGGGATCTGCACGACCAGTTTCAGCATCAGGTAGGGTAACATTGCCTGTTTTACCAAGTTTGAATAAATAGGGTTTAGATTTACTGATCTAATTTATGGATCTCTAGAGGCTGGTAGAGTAGGGTGAGGCTGAAAGTATTTTGTGGACAAGGTTGTGTCAACTGCAGGTAAGGAGGCATTGAGCCTTAGGATGACTGCATTATGCACAGGGCATGAAGAGTCCTTGATGCTCTCCAGAGGTGAAACTATTCTCACCTGACCTTGAAACAGGTCATTTGGACTCTATGATCTTAAGGGTCTTTTCCACCCCTGAGAGCTGTCGGTCAGTGTGACATTTGTTCTATACAACTTCTGGCTGTATAGAACAAATGGAAGGAGAAAGGTAAAAGAGTTGGGCCAGTCGCATCGGAACAGGGCTAGGACAGGGCAGTTGGGGTACCCCAAAACTGTTTTGTCTGTGTTGTGTTTTCCAACGGTGAAGCGGTGGAGTTGGGAATGAGGCCTTAGCTCGAATATGTTCAGAGTGGAAACTGAAGTAGCAGAGGCAGTCACTTTCCTGAGAGTTGTCAGTTGCCTCTTCAGTGCGCAGCACGAACGCGGGACTGAAACAAGGTGGAAAACCTGAGCAGAGGACGGTGCTTGTGCAGCACTCGCACGGGACTGGTAGAGTAGCCGAGGGGTGGTGGGGGCTGTGTGTCTAATAGGGAGGCGAAGGGGAAAGGCCTGGGGGCTTCAGCTGATACCGTTGCTTCGTGTCTGCCAGCTCAAGTGTTCCAACGACGGCTTCTCCGTTGTCGCCGACTACTTCGGTCGCGGCGTCTTCAACAAGCTGACGCTCATCACGGACTTGCCCTCGGGGAAGGCGGCGACGCTTGAGGCCGGGCTGCAGCGGGACCTGCTCATGCACACCAAGCGCAGCACCTGAGCGCGCCCCCCCCCCCGCGGGACCCCCCGCGCGCCCCTGGGCATCTGTACACGGCCCCCAATAAACCCGACTGCAACGGGACCGGCCCCGAGCGCGGGGCGGGGCGGGCTAGTGGCTGTTGTGGTCACGTGCACAGCGGGGCGGGGCGGGTGGCTGTTGTGGTCACGTGCACAGCCGGACGTGACGGAGCGGGCTCGTGCTGTGCGGGCGTTCCGGAGGGCAGGGGTTGTGATGGCAGAGCCGGTGTCGGGCGCCGTGAGTCGGGGGCAGCGGCCGCGGGGGGCGGGCGGGAGGCGGCGGGGCGGGCGCTGACCCGGTTGTTGCTGCAGGGCTCGAACGGCATCTGCGGCAGAGCGGTCCGCGTGGGCACCCGCCGGAGCCAGGTAGGCAGCGGCGGGCGCGGGGGGGTCCCGTGTGTGGCCCGGGGCGCAGGGGACGCGGATGGCGCCGCGGGTGCTGTTGGCTCCCCCGCCTCTACCGGTGGCAGAGCCCTGCGGGACGGAGCGCTCGCGCGTTCTGGTTCCTGTCTGGGGGCTCCGAGAGGAAACGCTTTCTACGGAGTCCGCGTGGCGGGCGGCTCTGACGAGCGCAGCCTTTGGGCAGGTAAGGGAGGGCGAGGGTGCGAGTGCCCGTCCGGGATAACGGGGATCTTGCTGGGTACTTGCCGGGCTGGTGCAGCATTTCCTGGGAGGCGGGACACCCCCCCGCCCCAACCCTGACACCCCCCAACGACTGCTGTCTTCAGGCAACCCGAGGGACAGGGGCAGGACAGCGGGTATCGCCTGCCAGCTGGGTGCAGCAGGGAGGAGCAGGCCCGCGGAGGGAGATAAGTGTCCTTCAGGCCTTTGTTCTGAGATAATCTTGTGCGTTCTAGGAAGAGTTTCGTACTTTCGAGAAGGTGTTTCGGGTAGATGTGAGGGGAGGGACAGAGCTGTGCTGCGTGCTGCTGCTTTTTCTAACCTGAGGCTCTTGTGGCACTTTACAGAGGGAAGCAGCAACTTGTACTCGTTTTACATATAAAGAAAGTACAGTCCTGAGAGCAAAGTTAACTGCCGCAGGCTACACAGCTCATCGGTGGGAGAAAGCTGAAACTCTCCTCTGGTTGCTTGAGTCTGCTGCTGCTTGCATGTGTGGAATGATTACTCTGTTTTTATTTGACTGACTTGCTGTTCTTGTGCAAGGGAATGTTCTTACTGCTGTAAGATCTGTTGTTAGCTCTGTGCGCAGACCTAAGCTGTAGCTTTTTAAGGAGTTTATACATACGAGTGATTTTACTCAGGCTACTCACTTCTAATGCTTTTGATTGGGAGCATGTAGCAGTCATATGGGTCTCACCACCGGAGAATGCCAAAGTTCTCTCTAGCTACTAGATGGATTATGTGCTCCTTGTTTAGGGCTTTGCTTTCTGCTTCGTTGCAGCTGGCCCAGATTCAGACCGACAGCATAGTTGAGATGCTCCGTGCGCTGTATCCTGAGCTCCACTTTGAGATTGGTAAGTTTGAATGCCGACCCAGGGTAGGCAGCAGCAGGAGCCAGCTGCTTATCTTTGTGTGCAAGAGGTGTGTCTGCAGTGCTGGCCTGAGGAGGAGGATTTGATCCCGCTTATCTAAGAGTGCCATCTGATTGCAGTTATGTTGTGTGGCTGAGCAGCTGTTGCTGGTTTCTTCTGGGGGAGAAAGATGGATTTCATAAGCTCCTGGTGGTTGAAGCTCTGAGTATGTCATACTCTCTGAGCATGTCATGCAGATGGTGTTAATCTTGCTCCATTTGAGAACCTGATATTGTTCTGGCTGCGCTCCACTGTGCCTTAGGGATGTTTTTCCTGGCTGGTCGTTGAGGGGATCAGCGAGAGCAATGGGAGCCTGCCCTCTTCCCCCTTACTCTGGTTTTGAGGACAGTGAAGGAAATCTCAGTGTCACTTGTCCTGAGCGCAGCGTGTTTCCAGAATCAAGCAAGCTGCTCTCATATTACCTCAAGTCCGTGTTCACGTGACACTCCTGCTTATTGTGTGTTGCATAGATATTTCCAGTCTAGGCCTAGATGCTCTGATCCATCTCACATTTTACCTGTACTCTTTCTGAGCAGTTGCCATGTCAACGACTGGAGACAAGATCCTGGATACAGCACTTTCCAAGGTAATGGATCATTTGTGCTCTACACAAGAAGTAATTGTGGTTGATAATACATTTGCCAACCTTTCCATGGTGATTCTTGTTCTCCCATTTATATGTAGATTGGGGAGAAGAGTCTCTTCACCAAAGAGCTGGAAAATGCACTTGAAAGAAATGAGTAAGAGCTTCTTGTTTTCTCATCCTCCTCTGTCGTTTCTGGTGCTCTTTATTTGGACACTTGGCTTGCTGTGTGATCCTAGTTCCTTTCTGTTCTGGTACCTCTGGCCAAGGAGGAGCATAGTTAGTGTTACCGTGTTAACATCCAGTAACAGCACGCCAGACATGCAGGAGATGTGGGCACTTTGTGCTGCTTTCTGGATAACTTCTTTCTACAGAAAACACTTGGTTTGGGCTCCTGCTGGAGCAGAGACATGAGCACTTTTTTGGTTGTTTTGGTCTTTTTTCCAGTATTCCAAAGAGGTTTTAGTGGTGCTTGTGCTCTAGAGTAGGTTTGAAAACAAATGATAATACTGTGTTTTCAAGTAAAGCCAGTGAAAAAAATACTGGAGACTCAAGCATTTACGATGTTTGTTTGCCTGTAAGGAGCAGATGATGGCCTTTTGTATGATAGCTGGCTGTTATTTCTGGTTCAAAGCATAATAGCAGACAAGGGACTAGTTGCATATTGGTATGATGAGTTTCTCTCCGCATGAACATCTCCAGCATCTTTCTTATCCTCATTCGACCCAGTGGTCATAATATGTCTTGCAGTGCTGCTGGGAGGAAGACATTTCTTTCATTTCACAGGTGGGAAAAGAGAGACAGAAGAATGAAGTGGCTTTTCTGGAGTAACTGTGGAATTCTATAGGGATTCTGGGGATAGGATCCTGACATTCCCCCCTCTTCTCCAAATTAATTCCCAGAGTGGATTCACACTTTTCCTGTAGGTGTTCTGCAGGCCTCAGGTAGGCATGGTGTGAGCTCAGGCATCTGTTCAGTGATTGCTGTCCTCTTATTCTTAGAGTTGACCTTGTGGTTCACTCCTTGAAGGACCTGCCGACTTCTCTTCCTCCTGGCTTTACTATTGGTGCTGTCTGCAAGTAAGTGTGGATGAGAGGCTCGATTCTTTGGGAGACATGCATTTTACAGCATCAGTAGTAGCAGCAAAACAAGGGTGGCGTAGGTCTTTTTAGGTGCTCGGAGTTTGACCGTCCTCTGCTTAATCTCTGAAACAGTGGAAACACTAGAGTTGATCTCATGTTCTGTAGCTGGCAGGTTTGCTGGAAATTCTTGCTTTTGTTCTGATGATATATGGGTTATTTTGGAGCCAGAGGCAGTTCATCTGGGGCCTGATAGAGAACTGTTAAGCTTAACAGTCTTCTGTTAAATGATGTCAGCCATTCTGTATTTGTATTCTGTTGCAGAAGGGAAAACCCACTTGATGCCGTGGTCTTTCATCCCAAAAACTGTGGGAAAACACTGAGCCTCCTTCCTGAAAAGAGGTGAGTGGAGAGAGGAAGGGGAACACAGGTGCAGTTGGTGATGGTGGCTGGCGGCTGCCCTCCAGAAGTGTCTCCTGTAAATCAGTTGCTTGGGATTGGCTTGCCTGCATCTAGCTTCGCCCAGGCTTTATGCTAAACCTCACGGAGTGGTTTTGTTTTTTCTAAGGAGATAAAAATGATTGGCAGGTTCTTGGATCTTCATTTTAATTAAGAAAAAAAAAATCACTCTTTGTTGGCTGGAAAGTTCAGAGTTCTTTCAGGTGGAGGCGAGTGTGAGGTGAGGTGAGTGTAGGAGTATTCCAGATTTCAAGTGTTTTATTTTCCCCACAGTGTGATTGGAACCAGTTCACTTCGCAGAGCAGCTCAGCTCAAAAAGAAGTTCCCTCAGTTAGAATTCAGGGATATTGTATCCTTTCCTGGCAAAAAGAAACGGGGGGGGGGGGGGGCTGGGTAAAGCTGCAAATGTGAATCTAGAACGTCATACGAAATCTAGATTGAAGGCTGATTTATGCCACCTTAGCAACAAGAGCAAACTGCTTCCTCATAGGCAGCCCTCCCCTAACCTACTTGGCGATGGATGTATAGTGCACTGTTGCCATTCTGCCTTTTGCTTTTTCATGAGCCTGTAAAGAAGGCGCCAGCCTTCATCTAAGAAAAAGAATTGTCTGTATGTAATGCTTCTCCTAGGATGGTGCTCTGATTCTCATTTGGAGGCTGTCAGATTCTGCACATTCTGTCAACACATTCTGGCGTATGTTATATAGGGATAGGAGCAGTTGGCCTGCTGTTTCTATGCTTGCTTAATCACTTCTACAGAGAGGGAATTTAAATACCCGCTTAAAGAAGCTAGATGAGAAGGAAGACTTCAGTGCCATCATCCTGGCTGCTGCTGGACTGAAGAGAATGGGCTGGGAGAATCGCATTGGTCAGGTGAGGAGCAGCAAAGCAGAAGATACCATTCTGTGCTGAACCATCACCTGTTTTATTCTCAGACCTTACGGTCATCCCGTCAAAGCTGAGCATGTCTGCTGGTCTGCTCAATCCACTGAAACCAGACACAAGTTAACTTGGATTTTGCTTTCTTCCAGCTCCTAAACCCTGAAGATTGTCTCTATGCTGTTGGACAGGTACGTTAAGACTCTTTTATCTTAAGCCATACCTGGTATCAAAAGCCAGTGGCGGTACAGTGCGTTTCCAGTTTAGGAAGGAATTGTTTTGTTATTGTTACTCATTCAGTACTTAATCGTTATCTTGAGAAAATGTTGGGAAGCCTGGATTTATCCAGGTTTCTTGTCACAAGGGACATTGGGGTGGGTGTTTCTATATATATACCCTAACTGAGAGAGGTTTTAGAGTGGCTTGAGATGACAGCATGATCTTGAACACTTTGGCCAAAGGAAGTTCTGGTCTTCCTTTTAGAGCAGCTGCTATAGGATGTCCCTGCAACCAGTGGATTTTTTTTGTCATTTATTTCTGTAAATGGCTAAATATCGCTCCCTTAGCAAAATGCATCCAGGCCTCTGAGTCTGTTTCGTGACCAATGCTGAGTGCACAGAGAGGTGTGAAGTTGAGGAATTACTATGATTTCATGTTTCTTCTCGTAGGGTGCCTTAGCAGTAGAAGTTCGTGCCAAAGACCAAGAGATCCTGGATATGGTGTCTGTCCTGCATGATGCAGACACCGTGCTATGCTGCATTGCTGAGAGAGCCTTTATGAAACGTTTGGTAGGTGGGGCATCTTGGCTCTTCTGCCTATGGCAGTAAATACTGCTCTGCTAGTTGACATCGTGGGAAATCTTTTCTAAAGCTGCAAAGTGGAGAGTGCTTCTGAACTGAGAAGTGCCTGTAGAACGATGGGCAGGGGTTTGTGCGGCCTAAACTTTTCAGAGGCCTGTACTTTGAACCTATTAGGTAGGAGCCTCAGTGTCAGCTGCTTTCTGTTTTAGGAGGGTGGATGCAGTGTCCCTGTCGCCGTCAGCACCATGTTGAAAGATGGCCAGGTGAGGAGTACTTTGTATTTATCTGGGATTATTTCTGAAAACCTATTCCAGTGCATGCATGTTCCCTGGTCCTACCTTGAGGATAACTCTGGCAGATATCTTTATAGCTGTCCTTTATAGCAGAGAGGCTCCTGACTCAAGCCTTCTGGGTTTGTGTCCAAAGCAGGAGTATGAGAATGGCCCTGGTTATTGAAGCTTGGTCTTCTAGGAAATGACCTTACTAGAAGTACCAGGTTCCCCCTGCCCTCTTTAAAGGTTACATTGCCCTAAGATTTGAAAGCCTTGCTCCTGACTCCAGAAAAATCAGCGTTTTATACGATGGGAGTGTGATTAAGGAGGTGGGCAACTAGAGAACTGTTCAGCCTTTTCCTTGGGAAGTTGCATCTTGCCTAACAGGGATCACTTTTCTTACAGTTGTGTTGTTAGGCTATTCTTGCTGGCCCCACTGCACTACAGAAACCTTCCCCTCTGGGCTGAGCTTTGAATGTTGTGCTTTTTTTTTTTTTTTTAAGGGGTGTGGTCGTTTTTCTGTTTGTTAACGCTATATTAATCCCTTCCGTGTGTCTTTCCAAGCTGTATTTGACAGGGGCAGTCTACAGTTTGGATGGATCTGATAGCCTGAAGGAGACTATGCAGACCAGTGTTAATTATCCCCAACAGGTAGGTGAACCACGGTGATGGCTTCAAACCCAAACCTCATGACCCAAAGCTGAAGCCACGTGACAAAGCGAGACCTTTTGAAATCTGCCTGTCATGTTGGGTCTGGTTCTTTGGAAACTCTTGACAGTGCACTGCTCTCGTGTTTCACATGTGGCTTGAACTATTCATTGCCCACTCTCCTTCCTGCTGCCTTACAGAGGTAATTTGTATTTGCAGAATGAAGATGGACCAAACGACGACGTGCAGCATGTTGGCATCACAGCCAAGAACGTCCCTGGTCAGGCCCAGGAAGCTGCAGAGAACCTTGGTGTTGAACTAGCTAGTTTACTTCTTAGCAAGGGAGCAAAGCATATCCTTAGTGTGGCAAGGCAGCTCAACGATGCCTGCTAAACCTGTGGTGTGGTCTGCACAATTGCCACAACTCTGGCAATTCTTGGCAGCTATGCTGTCGTCCTTTGGAGGAAGGGATTTTGTCAAATGCTCACACTGTTTTCATCTGACACGTGGGCACAAGAGCATGAAATACCAGGTTAACTAACTCAAGTTGTTTATGCTGTTCAGGGTTTCTGGCCCTCTCTGCATTTCTCTAAATTGCAAAGTGTCCATTTGATTTTTTTTTTTTTAAGGATATTTGTAGCTAGGAAGGTTAAAAAGAAAAAAAAAAGGATTAAAAATAAGCTGTAAGTGTTCTCCTATTGCCATGACAAACAAGGGATTTGTTACAGATTAGTCAGTTGTGATGGCACTTGAGTGCCATACTGTGTCAAACAGTACTGAAGTACTTTCAGTAGTCATTAAATGTTTTTTGGTCCTGTCCACTCATCAGTGTTGCAGAGGAAGACTGCTGTTTAGCGAGTTCCTCAGTAAAGTAGCATAGGTCTGGCTTAAGGCAGGAAATTAAGTTTGCAGCTATCAGGTGCAAATTTGTCAGTCAGCCAGTAATTAATTGGGAAGTGAGTGGACACCCAGTCGTGTGTCCCTTACTCACTAGACTACAAGGCTTGTCAGCATCATTCATATATGCTAATCATTTAATGGGGAGCAGGAGAGAAAGCCCAAATGTGCCTTTCTTTGCTAGTGCCAGTCCCTTCCTATGACTGTGGGTTCTTGCACTCCCTACCATGTAGCTATCTGCTCAGCAAGGCTCATGGTCCAGTGCCTTGTGGAAACACTGAAGTAGCACCTTATCGGGGTACCGTTTTGGAAATGAAGCATTGTTTATTCTCTGAAACGACCAGTAAACGTAACAGGTGATAAATACAGCAGAATGGTAAGCAGCATCCCGGTGTCAGTGTCTTTATGGAGCAGCTCCTCTGTTCACAGCTTCACGCACCGGGACCACGGCAGGCGCCAGCGCTCCTCAGCCCCGCAGCGCCGGCCACGGGGCGGGGTGGGGCCAGCCCCGCCTCCAGTCCCGACGACGGGACCGCGACACACCCCCTCCCCACGCGGATCGCAGCTCTCCTGGTGAGCAATGGGGTTGGCCCTGAAAAGGGCCTTTGTGTGGTGCCGAGGGCTCGGCCGGTCCTAATACTCCTGCGACTGCTGCCGGCTGCCCTTCTTGCCGGCCTTGGTGGGGCCCACGCTGCCGCCGCCGGTCTTCTTGGGCAGCAGCACGGCCTGGATGTTGGGCAGGACGCCGCCCTGCGCGATGGTGACGCCGCCCAGTAGCTTGTTGAGCTCTTCGTCGTTGCGCACCGCGAGCTGCAGGTGTCGCGGGATGATGCGCGTCTTCTTGTTGTCGCGCGCCGCGTTGCCCGCCAGCTCCAGGATCTCGGCCGTCAGGTACTCCAGCACGGCCGCCAGGTACACCGGCGCGCCGGCCCCCACCCGCTCCGCGTAGTGCCCGCGCCGCAGCAGCCGGTGAACACGCCCGACCGGGAACTGCAGTCCTGCCCGGGACGAGCGAGACTTGGCCTTAGCCCGGGCCTTACCGCCGCTCTTGCCACGGCCAGACATGGCGCCTCGCTCCTCTGTGCGCTCTGTCCCCAGCCCACCGGAGCTCTGCGGCGAAGTGAGGCGAGAGGTTCCGCACCCGGCCCTCTTATAACCTTCCCCAAAGTAGCACTCAGCTCATTGGATAGCGCCGCCGCGCCTCGCTATTGGTGCGTCTGCCGGAAGAAACTTTTCGCTGATTGGCCTCCTCTGCGAGCCACCGCGCTTGCCCCGAGTTTATTGGTGGTGGAGACAGGCCAATCAGACGGCAAGGCGCCAAATTCATACCTCGCTGAGGCAGTTGATAGGCACTGCCACACTCCCTCCCCCGTTCCCCTCTACCCGGTGCTTCAGGGGCTCCCCTTTCGGGTGCTGAGGTGAACCATGGCGCCACGTACTGCCGTATGGGTAACGATTTGTGGGGGAGGAAACGGCACTCACGGCGTGTGGGGCCTTAGCTCAATATGAAGAGTATTTACCAATGTCCCCTGCCATGCACGGCCGCAGCGATCCTCACTTTGCTATCCCGTTCTGGATGCGTCCTGATCTGTGAAGGAAGGCAGATGATAAAGATGTTCAGAAATAAAAGCCCTTTGGTGGGAAGATCCCTGCTAACTGGGAAAGAGGAGGGGGTCTACTGGAACCAGTCCCCTAGCAGGGTTTAAAGCCACAGCGATGTCTTGTGTAACCTAGCTTTGCTGTGTGACAATGTTCTTGAGGCAGATTACTGAAGGGGAAAGGGTAACACAAGCTGTTTTATTTCTGGAGAGCTCCAAGCTCTGGGTATAGTTTATAACATCTCACTCTGTGTCCATGGACCGAAGACAGGATTGGTGAAGCCCGGAGACGATTCTGGCTTACTTGTTCTGCTGTAGGGAGTCTCGCAGAAATTGAAGCTCTCAATTTTCTCTCCAGGGGAACCCTAACGTGCTTGTTAGATGCATAGAGATTTCATCTTTCCCACATGTGGATCATTTACTTCTCCCCTAAAGGCATTCCCAGTAACAGTGATGTCCAAGTAGCAGGGAATCTTTTCTGTCAGTAGAATCTGACAAAAGCCTTCTGGGCACAAGAAAAATAGAAAGACTATTATGGTTCAAGAGTGGCCCCTGCAGAGTAGTTGCACGTTGGCAAGTGTCCTGAGGTTGTTGGAGGGCCAGAGTAAGATGAGTTGCATCATTTGGTCAGCAACTGGAGAAAATCGACTGGCGGGTACAAGTCTTTCCTCTGTTCCTGGCAGCCCAGTCAGACATCATAAAACAAACGCACTAGTTGGTACCGGATTGAGAATGCAATGGTGCTGCCCAGGACCTAGGTAAAAATCAGCCAGAGAACAGAAACATGTAGCATTAAGTAAGGTACATGCTGGCAGTTCCTCATTTCCCCTTGGATTTGCTACACTTTGTGCCTTGTATAGAACCAGCAAAGGGTAGAAGTGTAGCCAAAATCCTCAGCTCTTTCTCTGAGAATGGTAACCATCTGCGGGGGATCTCCACACGTGTCTGCACGCAGTAACATCGTGAGAACACGTGGACTAGAGGAATGGTTGCGAACAACCCTTTCCTTGTTAAGGAGCACGTTATAATGTAAACTCTATAGTTTGTGATGGAAAATGCATCATGTCAAAGCTGCAATTCAGCATCCTTACAAGAAAGCTCTGCAAAGAATTCTCTGCTGTGGCTGGCCTCCAGAGCAAGTAGTAGGTACTTTCTATCCTTTCTCATCCCTGATATAGTCTGCCTAAGGCCTGTTTGGTCTCCAGGTTTGTTTGCTGGAAATCCTCCCTCCTGAATGGGAATTTGGCCAAGTAAGTGTCTCTTTCCCAAGAAGAATCTCTGATCTGAGGATGAAAAAAGGAGTTTTACTGTGGGCACCTAGGCAACGCAGCCCTTTCCACAAGTAGTATTTCTTCTGTTTTGTGCATGAGAGTTCACATACCAGAGGTAGTGGCAGTTATCTGTGAGGCAACTTATCCTCATGCTCTAAAGTGCTTCCAAACACTTCTGCAACCTGCTCAGATTTTGGGTACCACTGAGCTGTGTGCCATGCTTACCAAGTCCACCAGCCGGAGATAACTCCAGGACTGCATTGTTTGGTCTGGCTGACAAACAGGAATGTGGGAAAAGGCTGGATCTGGTCACAGTGACAAAGCACTCTGCTGTCCTAATGTTTTTGTAGCATCCAGTGATTCATGCCTTGGGAACCTTCTCAAGCTAACCTCGTGATTTGTATTTATTAGCTCTCAATGAACATGGAGGGGTGATGGGTAGAGGCAGGGGGAGGAATCTGTTTCCTCCTTGAGCAGCATAAACCTCCTGATTCTCCTCAAGTTCCACAACTCAACTGCATCTTGTGTGAAAAGCATGATACTTTACTTCCCCTTTTCCCCTTGAAATGCTTGAGACTCATTTGGATCTGTTTCTATTGCAGAGTACATCTTTTTACTGGAGGAAACATTGGTCTGACCTGAATGAGCAGCAACAGGAGAGTGAGACTTCGCTCGTGGGTGGGTCCAATCAGCTTTATAACAAAGTTAATAAGGGTCATATTATTGCACTCGGTATATTCGCCATCTTCATCTGTTCCACTCCTCACGTCTACTATATGCAAGATCTTGACGGCCTGGAGAAAGAAATATTACACGTTATTTTACCAGTGCTCACTGGACAGTTTTGTTCGAGATTCCTTTCCCTATACAATCCCCAAAGAGCCTGCACTCTTACTAAAAAGGCAGATGACAGGCATATGATGGTTCTGGGACACTTCTATGTCTGATGATTCTGAACACAATCGAGTGCCCATGAGGGATGGTGATGGACCAAGTGGAGTATTTTCTTCTGGATTTGAGCCAGGAAATAACTAGCAAACACAGAAGTTTTGTTTTCCCTCCTATCCTGTTCCTCTCACTTTTGATCACTGCCTCAAAATGGGCCTGACTTTTGAATGTTTTCTGGACTTTACCTTCAGAATGTTTATTCCCATGGCAGAGAGGCTCTTAGTTTTGAATTTGGTGTAGCTCATCTCCAACTTCCCTGTGCTAGGATTGAGCCTAAAAGAAATATAACAATTTTAGTCCGGATAGAGCGAGGAGAGAGAGATGGCCAGCTGAGTCGCTGAGAGAGAAACCCAGTGGTGGAAAAAGCAGGACTAATCCCACACATGTAGCAACATGCTGATATGGAGTCCCTCAGACTGGACAAAGCAAGGAGGAGATTCCTCCCCACTGCACCCCTGTTATAGGCATAGAGCTGCATATATTTAAAGCTAAAGCATCTAACATCTGCAGAGACAACTGCTAATGCAGGACAGTGCCACAGAATGCTTGTTACTACGAAACTTTAGCAAATACTACCACAACGGTATTAAAAGCGACCTGTGTCAATCTCTCTTGATCTTGTTGCTGAGACTAATCATATTCTAACATTGTTAAAAATCAGTTCTGTATCTGGGGCTTGGGAGGGCTGCAGCAGTCAGAAAAGACAACTTCTTTGAGAAACCTCTACTGTGTGACCTGACCAAGACTGGCAGAGGGAGCTGGCTAACTTTTAGCTATAAAATGGCTTTTGTAGCTATAAAATGGCTTTGATGGCTTTTTCAAAGCACACATACCACCACCTTTCTCAGCTGGTGTTCATGATAAAAGGCACAATCTGTGGTACTCTTACAGGTCGCTCAGGTACGTTACCTTGGCAGCCGGTGACGGGGACAAGGAATGACATGAAAGAGTTGAGGCAATGAGTAGAGGAAGTTGAGCACTTGTGGGATGAAAAAAAGCAGCATTGTTTTGCTGAAGTGTCCCAAGATCCCCACCACAGCAAAGGTCATGCCGGCAAAGTAGCAGAAGGTGTCCCCAACAAACACTTGAGACGGGTACCTGCAATCCAGAGCAGAAAAGCAAAGGTCCGTCATCATCGCTGTTGCCATGCAAATGACTTTATAACCACCGAACATATTCCCAAGTGGCTGGCTAGAGAGGGAACTGCAGCAAATCTACATGGTAAAAACAACCACTGCAGCTATCTATGTCAGGGACTGCAGGGCTGGGACCCACAACCTGATCTGCAGAGAATCTGATATGAAAGAATGGCTAAAGAGACAGAGCATATCCTCACGTACATTTTGGTGAGCCGTGTGACTGGAATTGTGCTAAAAAAAAGCTACCAGTGCATGAATGCTTTGCACTGTTGGTTCTGGCAAGAGACCCATCTATGCCCCAGCATTCCAACTGCATGCTGGTAAATGGGTTGGTTGGTTTGAAAAGGGAGAATGTAGAGGGAAAGGATGCTTCCAAAGAAACTCTGAATGGATGCTTCCAAAGAAACATCCTCTTACCAGTTGTGGTAAAACAGCCCCAGCGTGGTAAAAAAAAAGGGAATCATGAAGTAGAGAGAAAAAATGTGATCATCTCGGTAATCCCCTATAGAAAAAGAAAAAAATATGTTTGTGATAAGACAGGACTGGTTGTTTTTTACTAGTACCAGATATCAAAACCTAGGATTCTATCTCCCTTTGCTTTTTGCACCCCAAAACACGTACACTATCTACCTTACCATTTAACTCTACAATGTTGAACACAATAATGGAAGCAGCTATCACTAGCGACTGCCCCGCTTCAATTCCATTAATTCCAGCGAGAATGTTGATGGCGTTGGTGCAGAACACTGCTAGCATGCCCATGTACACGTAGTAGAGGATACCTGCAGGTCAGAGCAAGCAGAGTGCTTTAATACTCATAGGCAAAACAGACCCAGTCCAATTCACCAAAGCTCTTGCTCTGCACAACCCATTACCTGGTGTTCTCGGTGAGTTTGTCAGTAAGTGGTAGGTTACTGACAAATTGTTCTCTACCCCGTGACTTGGCTGTCATGTGTACGTGTATGTATGACGTAAGGGCCGCAGAGAATGGATGCGATGCAGTGGCAGACCGTAGCACTGTTTCTCATTTCTGGTCATCCTGGCATTGGCAGCTGACTGCTGTACGTACCCGGTGCTGGACTGTATTGCCAGAACCCTGGAAATATGCGTGGTGCCTACCTGTGTGTGGCTGAGTGCGTGCTGAGTTTCTGGATGTAGTTTCCACCCTAATTAATATTTAGTGGGTACCCTCTCATTGCCAGTATAGTTGTGGGTGCATTCCCTCTGCAGCACAGAGTGCCTCGGGTGACCCCTTCAACAGATTGCTTGCCACTTGTATGATGGCTTCCGCTGATTCGTAACAACTTACCCAGGTCCAAGTGCATGCCCAGCAGCACACGGAAGGGCTTAGGCACCACAATAGTCGTGTTCCCAAAGTTGGTGAAGTAAACCATGAGCAGCGGGAGGGAAGCCATGGTCGGAAGAAGGAGCTTGTGGCGCCAGCGCAGGTTCAGAACGTCATCTGCAAAGCCCAGGAAAATCATGCAACAGATGGCGAGGAGCGAACCGATGAGCTCCACAAACTGCGGGACAGAGAACAGCACCCCTATTACCGGTGGCCAGTCCCGCCTGTGTCCGCCGCACTCCCGACACCAGGCGAGCCTCACCTCGTCGTGAGGAAAGGCCGCGCACTGCTCCTCCATGAAGCATCTCAGGAAGGGCACGGGGATGAAGCAGAAGAGGGTGATCAGGAACACGGCCCCGCTGATCACACCCTGCGCTTCGGGGCTGAAAGGAAGGCAAGGCGCGCAGTCGGCCCAGCTGGTCCTGGTCCCGGGGCCGCTGCGGCCCTGCGGCGCACGGTTCGGTGGGGCAGCGTTACTCACACTGGCCGCCGCGAGGCCTTGTTGAGGTCTTCGCCGTAGAGCCGCGCGGCGAGGAAGCGGTCCTTGAAGGCCGGGATCAGTGTCAGCGTGGCCACCAAGCCCAGCAGCGACCCGCCGAGGTTGATGAGGAGCGGCACAACGGGCCAGGCCGCCATGACCACGGCGAGCGCTGCCCCTGCCAAGGGCACACACCGCGGCCGGGGGGGAACGCCGCCCGCCACCCCTTCCGCCGCGTGTTTCCAGCCGGACGCTAGAGCGGAGGCACCGGATGCGCGGGCTCCCTCCAACCAATCGGCGAGAGCAGCGCCGGTTTTGGCACGAGCCGCCGGGGGGCGCGGGTTTCTCCCGGACACGCCGCAGCCGCGCTGGAGCGGGGAGAGCGCCTGTGCCCGGCGCTGGAGCCTTCCGGGTCAGTCAGCGCCGCGACCACCGTGGCCACCCTCAGTACGTCACTTCCTACCCCCGGCGGCCGGGCTCGCGGGACTGGGAAGCGGCGCGGGGGAGCCGGGGCTGTGCGGGGGTGAGGAGGTCCCGCGTCGAGCGCTGACGAGATGCAAGGGAGCGAGGGGCGGAGCAGCCGCGTGCCCCTTTACGGCGAGCCTTCCCTCCAGTATTTAAAAGCCAATAAAGTGCCTAACGGGAGCCTCTGGGCTGACGGTTGTTAGCAGCGCTGAGACCCTCGCGGGACCCTTTCCGGGGGTGTGCGTGTGGTACGAGTCGGTGAGCGGCGAAGGGAAGCGGCGGCAGCAGAGAGAGGCTTTTTGCGCGCCCGGTGCGAGTGGACTGTGGCGCCCAGAGCGCTGCTGAAGGGGTGGGGCCGCTTCGGCCCCGCTGCGAGCACGATTTGTACACTTTAACGTGGAGGCCGCGGTGTTACCGGTGTCAGGGAGGAAACCGCAGCGAGGCGGGGGGCGCGGTGCTGGGCAGAGATCCCGCGGGTCCGCAGCAAGGCGTCGCCAACCCCCGGCCGGTGTTGCCGAGGGCCGTGACCGCTATGCGGGAGCGGAGAGGGCGAGCTGCGCGCGGGGCCGGGCCGCGGGGGGGCGCCGCGCCGGAAGAAGGCGGCCGGCGGCGGGGAGGGGGAGCGGGAGGCAGGTCGGCTCCGCGGTTGTGCGAGCGCGGGCCCGGGTCTCTGCTCGGGCCAGGCTCCTGCGGCGCTGGCCGGGCTGAGCCCACGTGCGCCGCGGGGCCGGGAGGCGGGCTACGACGCAGCCTCGCCTCCTCCCCACTCCCTCCGGCGGGAGGTGGCGGCGGCTGGGCCGGCGGCGGAGCGCAGGGGCCGTGCCCGTGCCAGCCGGCCCGCCGTGAGTCGCTGCGCGCTGTGCCATGGGGCCGGATCCGGGCTGGGCCGCGCTGGTGCTGCTCTTCGCCGCCTCGCTGCTCACCGTCGCGGCCTGGCTGCTTCAGTACTGGCGGTCTGCGGCCCTGCGGGCGGCGCGGCGGCGCGGGGCGGTGACGGAGGAGGCCGGGGCCCGGGCGCTGCTCGCCGCGCTCCTCGCTCTCCGATCGCTGCGGGAGCAGTGGCAGCGGGCCTGGGTGCGAGCCCTCAACAGCCAGGCGCGCCGGCACGGGGTACGGCCGGGGCCCGGGCGGAGGCGGGCGGCGAGGCGGGGCGGGGGGAGCTGGCCCCGGGGAGGTGGTGGCGGCTTGTGGGCGGGCGGGGTTGCCGGCCCTTTGTTCTCAGGCTGCGGGGAATCCGTCCCGGGCGGTCGCTGGCTGTGGCTGTGGGGGCTTGGCCGGAGGGAGCCAGCGCCTGTTCCCGAGCAGCGTCGTCGGAACACGGACAGGAGGCGCTGGGCAGCGGCTTCGGGGCCCGAGGCCGAGCGGGCTCTGATGAAGCCGGCTGCTGTGGCCGCTCTGAGGTTTCCACAGCAACCTCTTCCGACTTTTGTGGTGTTTATTCTCTTTAGTCTCCTAGCGTTACCGCTATGTTGATCTATAGTTTTGCAGTCTATGAAGAAGAATGTTTCACACTGATTTCACGTGCAAAGAATTTCATGGTAGCTTGTGTTGCCTGCGGGGCAGAGGCTGCAAAGTCTGTTGTACTTGATAAGTTGATGGTGTGAGATGAAGCAATTGGATCTTTGGGGAAGGAGCCTTGGAAGAAGTGCTTGGTTTAGTTATGTGTTGCCTGCACTGTACCTGTGGCTTTTTTTTTTTTTTTGGAAGAAGTCCTTTTCAGTTACAAGGCAGGTAAGTTGCACCCCTGCAGTACAGCCGTTAGAATAAAGGCTGCAGAACCTGAAGGAGTGTCCTCTGTGATTTGGCTGAAGGAGGGTTTTACTTCAGCACGTCAGCAAGTCAGGGGTGCTTTAGTTTTGGTACTTAAAGTAGATGGTGGTGTCTGGCATCTGGAGAGCAGAAAGGTTAATAAGGCTGTTTAACAGTTTTACTTGAAAGTAACTGCAGAAGGCAGAGCAGATCTTAATTATGTAGGTCAAGTGTAGTGTTCCTGAAGTTCTGCCGGGTTGTACGGGGCTTTGAGTAACCTGGTCTAGTGGAAGGTGTCCCTGCTTGTGGCAGGAGATTGGAACTAGATGAGTTTTAAGGTCCCTTCCATCTCAGCCATTCTGTGATTCTATCTAAGCCTTGTGATCTATACAGAAGGTTACTGCATTGCAACATTTGGCCTAGACTTGCAACTATCCTATATAATGCAGTTGTTTTTGAGGTATCTCTTTGTCAGGTGACAAAACAGCTGAAAGGTAGTGTTTTGTTCTTTAGCTAGTGCTTCGGTACCAACTTCCTGCGTGATGCTTTCTGCTAAGGAGTACTTTGCTGACTCTGCCTTGTGTGTAGTCCCAAGAAAGGGAAAAGAAAATGCCCAAACTGGGGTAGAAGTCTCATGGTTTGCTAAGAAAGGATAATAGAGGGAGGCTAGCTTTCCGGAGTCCTAGTTAGTCCTGGAGGAATGATGCTCAGTCACTTCCTCCTCACTAGTCTATTTTCTTCTGTGGTTTTCTTGTTTCTTTGTGGCTTCTTTCAGCTTGATGAACTTTAAAAGATTAGTTTGGGGGTTTGTTTGCTTGTTTAACTTGGGCCAGGGTTAGCACAGAGGAGGGAGAGAAGAAACAGGAAAGCTTCTGCAGTGAAGAAGGGTTAATGCACTTGACTTAGAGTTGACTGCAACAATTTTGCATTCTCATTTGAGGTTGCCTGCCTGAAATTAATGTAGTGTTTGTGAGTCTAAGCCTCGAGTGGAGACCCTGTTTTCCTTTTCTGTAAGGGCAAGCCAAGATGGGCAGAATTGCAGCATGCAGTGGTTGTGCCTAGCAAGACTTGTGGAAAGGGACATGAGTGTGCCTGGGGCCCCACCCCAGTCATTCGTCCTCCTCCAAACTATCTGGGATATTTTGATCAGAACTAATGTAGTTCTCTTTTCGTAGAGTTCAGTGCAGATAACGTTTGAAGAGGGTTCTCAGCTACCACCAGCCGCAAATATAAGTCATGTGACATGCAAGGGACAGTCGGACTGCAGCATGGTAAGGGTTTGCTGTTCTGAATTGTTCTCTGTGGGTTTTTTCTGTCGATTGATGGCATGTTGTAGGGAAGCTCCCGAAAGCTGCGTGATGAGGACTGTGGAACTGGGGAGGTTTCGGGCAGTATTCGTTGTTGAGTTCGGTGATGTGCCAGCTGACTCTGTGGGAGCCCTAGGGGAGATACGTTGGTGGAGCTAGCACATATATGTGCTGAGCCCGAATACCAGGATCCTGCAGTGGAGAAGGAGAAGAGAGATCTTGTCACCAGTATATCTTTACTGCATCACGTGCATAGTCTCTAATGGCAGGTTCCACAGGGTCTGAGGGCAAGCCTCATGTTTCTTTCCTGCCACGATGGGTGAACCTTGCCTATCACTTTTAGAGATTTTGCTGTTGTGTGGTGATAGCCTCTCACCAGTGGCATAAACTCTTCTTTCCTTTTCTTTCTAGGTGCTGTGTTGCCATCTGTCAGCTGAAGCTGTGAAATTCCCTGTGTCTGTTACTCAGCAGTCCCCAGTTGCTGTTTCTGTGGACACCTATCATGTCACTTTGGCTGTGCTGCAGGCTCAGGTAATGGTTGTAAAAAGTTAGCCTGTGACCTTGTTCCTTCACCTGCCCCTACACAGACTAAGGAAGGACGCAGTATAGTGTGAAGAAAGGCCTCGTGATGCTGGACGAAGTGGTGTTGCTGCCCTCATATTTGGCGCGGTGGTAGATAATCCCAGTCTAAGTGCCAAGTTCCACTTTCTGTGTCTTGTTCTGCAGATATTGGCTATATGACGTAGCCATAATAAAATCCAGAGAGGTTTGAGATTTGGCATTGATTTTGGTGCCTGGGCATCCAAAAGCAGCTAGGAACCCAGATCTTGGTACGGAGCTTCTGCTGCAGCTGCTTCTCCCGTAGGCCTGGGACCGCTTGTATTCTTATGTTCTGTCTCTTACTGTTGCACTGGCACAGGAGCCTTTCAGTTGCTGAATTTGAAGCAGGGTGAGCAGAACCTCTTCTTTACTGTGGGTATTTGTTCTGGGTCAGGTGGAGATCCACTTGGAGGAGATTCAGAATGAAGGTCTCCTGGTGTCGTGGACATTCAAGGACAGACCGGACATGAACCTTTCCGTTCTTCCGAGACTTCAACTTTGTGAGGTGAGCGGCAAACAGTGGGAGAGGCGGGCTTGAGTAAGAGGGAAACTGAAAAAGGCAGAAACAGTGCTGAGACAGAAGGAAGGCTGTGGCAGAGGGGAAAGGAGGAGAGGTTGGCACCTTGCTCTCGTGGCCCTTCAGGGCAAGGGAGGGGATTCTTTTGCCCTAAATTCTGTACTAGCTCAGCTCTGTCAAAACGGCTCTCCTCAAGAGGGGCTGAAGTGGTACTGATGCCTGTTGTCTGAGTTTGGTGTAGCAGCTGAATGGAAGTAAGCATAGCAAAAAAGTCTTTCTGTCTGCGTAGGTCCATCTGCTGTTGTCTGATGTTGAGCTGCACAATGAGCTGTTGTTTTTTTGTTTGTTTTTTGTTTGTTTTTTTTTTGGGGGGGGGGTGTTGTGGGAGGGGAGTGGTGGTTTCAGCTTTTTGTTTGCTTGTTTTGTTTATTTGGGTTTTTTTTGAGAGGTTAGTGTGCAGAACGGAGCCCACAGTTGTTAGAGGCTTAATGAGCTGAACACAGGAGTGCTTGTGCTTCTGTGATCCAAACAGGTTGGTTCATTTGTTTGTTTTATTGACACCCTTGTTGCTTTATCCTGAGCACATGGAGGAATCGAGCCGTTCTCCCAAAAGTGCGGTAGTACCATCTCTTGAGGTGGTGAGGATGTGACAAACTTTAAAAGCTATATTGTCAAAATTTGCAATGGGTAGACTACAGATGTAGAGGATTAGTCTGTCTCATTTAGACGACTTACATTTGCCTGCAGCTGTTACACAGAAACTTTAAATAGTGGGGAAAGCAAGTACAGGATATGGCAGGAGTACCTGGGATGCTATTGCTGGGATAAAGACCGTGTAGTGTCTTAGAGGTGTGAGAGGCAGCTGGAGCTGTATAAAAAGAAAACATGTCTGCCTTATTATGATTTTTCTGTTTCCTCTTGACTTGTGGAGAGAAGAATGAAGGGAGAGCAGACCTGTCCACCATAAAGGATCTGATTGAAGATACCATTATCAGCACACAGCCAGCCATGACAGTGAATCTGAAGGCCTGCGCTGCTGGAGCTGGTGCGGTAAGACACTCTCCTCCTGTCACTCTTGTGCCTCAAGCTCTGTGCCTAGGGGTGCTTCTGAGGGCTGAAGCTCAGGCAGGAATATGGAGGTCGAGACTTGCTTCTGGGTGACAGCCTCAACCCGGCCCGCACTGTAGTAGGGGTTGGGGTACTGTGGTATGGGAAGGAGAGTTGATTTGAAACCACTCCAAAGGGCAGCTCTGTTTGTACCTTCTTTTCTGAGCACTGAGTGTCAGTTTTATTGAGGTGGAGCTGAACTGCCTGAGACACATGTCTCTTTTGGTAGTCTCTCCGTTCCTCTGAACGCTGAGGTTCTGTCTGCAGCAGCCTTTGTGGGCATGGAATGGTCCATGGAGTGTCATCTTCCGTAGTCTGCCTGCCAGCCAGCGAGATTGAGCTTGGCTGTCTCTTCTTGTCTGCGTGAAATTCACCATCTGAAATAACACAGGGGCCCAAGGAGGTCAATATCTTGGGGGAACCTGCAGCATCTCTTGATGGCTCTGCGTGTATTCCCCGACAGTTGGTGCAAGGAGCAACTTGGCAGATGCAGGGATGAGCTGCCAAGTCGTGTGTCTTGCTGCTGTTGGCTGGCAAGTGAACAATAAAGGTGTTAGTCTCACCCTTGTCATTTCTCAGGTTACCAGCGATAAGTTGACTCGAGAGTCACTGTCCAGAGTAGCCCCTCTGGGTTCTAAGCTGTTGCTCCGGAATCTTCGAGTGCTGAACTTGGGCTGCCAGGGGAAAGGAGGTAAGCATGAAAGCTTTGCTGATCTGCAGGGGCAAGCGTACAGGTGGTGAGACTGGAGTGAGTGGATGTTTTGCGTGGGTTTGAATGGAAAAAAACGGAAAAGAGGAGCATGTTACCACCAAGGCACTGCCTTGTGCTGAGCACATGCATGCGCTCCATCCCTCTGTTGCAGGACTTGAGGAGATATGCTGTGTGGCAGAACTAGACAGCCCCCTGCAGCAGAAGTGGACGAGGCCGGTGACAGCGAGCAGTGCCAGCGCTTTGGCAGAAATGGAGTGGAATGAGGAGCTCTTTCTGTAAGTGTTGCACCCTCCTCACAGCTGGCACAGCAGAGGTGGAGCAGCACGATTTCTGGGTGTCATTACTGCGTGGTGGTAATTGATGCAGACTGTACAAAAGGTGAAGTCTGTGTTGTGAGGCAACAGGAGTTTGTGCTGCCCGTGTGCTGGGCTAGCAATTCCAGTGATTGGCCTCAGCTTGCATATGTATTTCCTGCAAGTTCCTGTGGACTCTGTTTTAACTGGGTGGTCAGAAGTGGTGATCGTGGTCGGCAGGTGCAGGTGCAGAAGGCCTGGAGCGTAGATCTTGGCCTTCCAGATGAATTGCTCTCTCAACTTCACCTGGAAATGTAACACAGCCCTGCAGGTGATACAAACGGGAGTTCTCCTCTTCTGTGTAGTGTGCTGGCAGGGGCAGCAAAGTTGTCTTGTCCTCTGAAGTAGCATATGCATACTGAAGCTTTGTAAAAGATGATGAGGCACGTGAGATTTCAGGGAGGGAAGATAAGGAATGGGCTTGCTTGCTGCTTGGCTCTTTTGCAGATTGCCTAATATGAGCCTTTTTTTGTTCCAACAGGGAGCTGGGACACAGAAGTAGAGAGCTGAAGCTACAGGTGCTGGGGAGCAGCGACAGAGGGGGAAGTGAGTACTGGAAGCCGTAGGAGAGGTTGTAAGGTGGCGAGACAAATGTGCCTAAGGGACTTCATGTGCTTTGAGCCTGAGGTGGTTTGGTGTCGGTACGATTGCAATGAACTCTGCAAGCGATTTTTCATATCTGATTGTATGTGAGCCTCTCACTGTGTAAAACAACTTTTGAGTCTGTTCTTCCAAGTGAAACGCTCCTAACTTTGACTTTTCTGGTACCTGGGAGATTCCTGTGGCCTGCCTGTCCCCAGTCTTAAGTGGGGAGAGGGGTGCGGGGATTTGTCCCAGGGTGTTGGAAGAAGTTTGCACAAGGCTCGTAACCGTTCATTTGCACTCAGTCAGGGACTTAATACAGTACTTACTTTTGATGGAGACTGCGCGAAACCCACCTCTTTCAGGGAGTCAGTTTCTGGATCAGTAAAGAGGAGTGGAGGAGCACTGCCTGCCTCTTCCCCACCTTGAGCCTGGGAGCTATAGGCAGGGGGGCTTGGCTTTGCTGGCCCACAGGGCTGCTTCCCAAAAAGCAGAAGGTGTCTTGGATGCTGAGCTCACGCGATGCGTTCTGTTTTTCTGTTCCTTCCTGCAGGTGTGCTGCTGGCACATACCACGCTTTTGCTTGATTCTTTGGGCAAACAACCTTCCGGGAGACAGGTCTGCTCACTGGCCCCAGCAGCCGGGTGGTCACTGGCGGCTGAAGCTACCATTATGTTGGAGGTGAGCCTGTAACAGTGTTTGCGATGCGAGCCTCTAGCCTAGAGATGGGTGTAACTGGTCCTGGGCTCATCGCAGGGGACTGTCAGACCTTTATGTTGCAGAGGGGTGTCATCGGGCCCTTGCTCCCCAAGCCTCTATCTGCTCCACCAACTTGGTAGCGGGGATAGCTCCTTGGTGCCTGGAGCAGTAGCTTTTGTCATCCATGCACCTGTCTTTCCAACTGGGAAGAGGAGAGCCTCTCTGAGCTGCACTTTACTCTTTGTAGCTGCTATTCCAGGAGTCTCCTGTATCTTTGAACGCGCAGCATGCTCCATCTCTGCGAACCAGCATCACCCCCACTAAGAAGGTGGAGATGGACCGGACCATCATGCCTGATGGCACCATCGTGACCACTGTCACCACGATTCAGTCCCGGCCCAAGGCAGACTGCAAAATGGGTGAGGCTGCCGTGTGATGGGCATCTTGTACATGTCACTGCTATGGGGGTGCAGGCTCCTTAGCATCCTGTGGCTGGCTGGAGGCTTGCGCCTAGCCTCAAGGAAGGGAATTGATGCAGCCCTGTGTCTGGGGGGAGGTGAGAGAAGGACAAGTCTCTCTGACGCCTTTTGACAGTGGAAGCTCCTGACTCTAACACGCATACTGTTGCATAACCTCTGCGTTAAGGCGGGCAGAGTGCTTCGCCACTCTTCCTCTTATTTACATGCTGAATGCAGAACCGGAAGCACATTGACCTCGCTTGCTAGTGGTTGTTGCTGCTTGCGGTCTGATATCCTGATGAATGTGTGCTGCATATTCCATGAGGCAGGGACAGAAAATGGCATGAACAGGGTGTCGCAGGTGGGTTGCTTTGTGTGTCTTTTCCCAGTAGGCTTTCTACTGCTTTGTTATTGCAAAGCCTCACAGAGCCAGCCTCTGCAGGCTCTCAGCACGTGCGCTTGAGGTTTTTTTTGGGGTGTAGGGGGCCACGACATGGTAGCGAAGTTGCCTAAACTTCATCTCCTCTTACTGGTGTCTCTGTGTCTCTGCCTCTCTTTTACCATGAAGATTCACCATCGAGGTCGCCTTCCAAGGTGGAAGTGACTGAAAAGAAGACAACGGTGCTTTTGGAAAGCAGCTGCCCTTGCAGCCCCTTGCCCAGCAGCAGCCGTAAGTGCTTGGAAAACTGAGGCTTTTGTTGGAGCGACTGTATTCCTTAGCCTTTCATGGAGGTTGTCTGCTGTCTGAATGTGGAGCACAGAACTTGTCTGCATTTGCTGTGGCAGAGGATGTCTGAGTGCCTGAGGGAAGGTGGGGGCAGAGGGGTGGTGGCAGGTGGTAGCAGGTAAAAGGCACTCTGGCTATCTGGTCTGTGACTCTAGGCATTTCCTTTCTTGATGAGAATGTTCTAGGCTATCTGAACCCAAAGAGCTGTGCTCATCCTGTACTCAGGACTCTGACTGTCTCTGGGACAGAGAGCTGCAGCCTTTTTGATGGTTCATGGCCAAGGGTGCCCAAACTCTTGGAAGTCTTTGGAGGTCTTTGTCAAGTGGGAAGGGTATTTTAATGACATATCCGATGGGAAATCGAACTTTGCAGGTGCCTGAAAAAGCCAAGAGCTATATGACGCTTCCTTCCTTTGGTTTATTTGGGCAAGTGTGTAGTAAATTCTGTTCTCTCCTTTTGTGCACATTGAGTTGCCTGTAATGAGCATCATGGCAAGCAAGCGACCTCTTGCTGGTGCCAAAGGTCACTACACCAAGTGTTGGTTTCTTTCTTGTGCTCAGGGGATAGCTATATGCCCAATGGCTTGGATCCAGTGGCTGAGACGGCGATCAGGCAGCTGACTGAGACAAATAACAAGCCTGCCAAGAAGACCCCAACGAAACGTAGCACGCTGATCATCTCGGGAGTTTCCAAGGTCTCTGATAGTTGCAAGGTTCCATTTCCAATCTGTGAAGTCTTTTCTAGGGATGGGTGCATTGAAACCACCTGGTCCCATAGGAACCAGTGTGGGAAGGTTCTGGCACAGAAAACTTGCTCGACAGAACCCTTTCACTGCTTCCTTGGAGCTTGTCACTGCTTCCCAGTGAGCATCAAAGGTACCTTGCCAGTCTGCAGGGCAGCTGCTGGTGGGAGTTCACAAAGGGCAGCCATGGAAAGAGAGGCTGCTGCCATAGCTGGTTGGGAGCCTCATGGAGTCCGTGGACTTGCCTGAGGGAGTGAGAGAGATGCCGCAGAATGCTTTGGAATCTGCCACGTTCCAGTATGTTTCAGCAAAAAAAGTGACAGTTGCGCATCGGTGCCATCTAGCACTGATGATCGGATCCTGGGTGTCCATATGTAGGTGTGAATGGAAAATGGGAGATAAGTGTGATTCTTTTAAACTCTGTCTTCCTGTCTGTCTGACTCTCTGATCCCCCTCAAGGTACCTATCGCTCAAGATGAAATGGCACTTTCTCTGGGTTATGCTGCATCCCTGGAGGCCACAGCATACAGGGATTCTGTGGCAGAGGGCACAGGCGTGTGGATGCACGATTCTACTGAATCATCACAGCTGCTGGAATCGTCGCCGTCTAGACAGAGAGCCGGTCAGGAGCTGGATGAGACAACACGGTCGGACATCTCCGAGAGGCCATCGGTGGAAGATGTTGAGTCTGAAACTGGTTCCACAGGAGCACTTGAGACCAGGAGCTTGAAAGATCACAAAGGTAAGGATGAACTAGTAGATGGTAGCTAATGTTAGACTTTAGGACCAAGTGCTGTCTGAGTGCCCCGCCCACAGAGCAGCAGGGCTGCAGGCAGCTTTCAGCATGGTGAAGAGCGGCTTCTGTGAGAGCCTGGAAAAGCCTGTCTTTCTCACATGCTTCCTGCGGGAGCGGTTCCAAACTCCGTTGTTTGCAGGTGTCCGATTACTTTGGCCTTTTCGGTTTCTGTGCTTTCTGTCCGGGTTCTGTGCTCTCTGCCCCTGAGTGGTTTGCATGTTTCTGAGAACCTGTGTTCTCTCCCTAGCCTCTAGGACTACACATTGGACACACCTCCGTAAATGATTCCTCCTCTGAATTCAGCTGCCTTTAGCATGGAAACAGAGGCTGGCCAGCAATGTGGATTGTAGAGGCCTCGACTCCCTCCCTCTTTCTCTGTTAACTCTTGCTTCTGACCTGTTGTACCATAGGATGTCCACATGAACTGTCTGTTTTCAAGCAACGGAGTGGGCCTCCTATTCTGACCAAGCTGCTGTTCCAGACTTCCTGGGCTTCCTGTGTCAATTGGGTGGATGGCACACCTTGGATTTGTCACAGCTTGTAGCTGTAGTGGTTTCACTTAACTGCAAACTTACGTAAATAAGCACCAGCCAAAATCTCGATTGCTGAGAATATGAGAGCGGGACAGGTTTTAGGAGGGTGTACTGTGGTACAACCAGGTACAGTTCAAACTGTGGTGACCAGCCCCTTGTTTGCATGTCAGTGGGTAGGAAGGTGTGTGGCCCTGATTCTTGAGAGATGTGGCAGGCGGGGAAGGAAGAAAACCAGAAAGCGAGCCCCCTCTGTAGGAAATACTATTGCGGCTTTGTATGGCGTGCAGGTTTTGAATATGCCTTTTTACACCTGGCACCTGTTTGGGGCTGATGGTGATTGCCATCTCCATCCCGTCCTGCCCACGTGAGTCATCCAGAGCCGTTGCTGTCATTTGTCTCCGGGTTCCGGCATCTCGTGAAACTGGGGACAGTCACTCTAGTGGCTTGATCACTGACTAATCCAGGTCTCCTTGACACGAGTTGGTCCGAGAGGCCTTTCCCCTGCTGCATGTTTCTCACGGTGTCTCTGCATGCAGATTTTCTCATGTGTTTTCCCTGTGTGTGAGTCTTAGCTTTCTATTACAGTTCTGCACGCTTCTGCTGCAGGGAGGACATCGTTGTGTAAAAGGAAGGTTATGCAGAGGGGACGTGTGATGGCATGCTTAGTGAAGCCGCTTGTTGGTATTGCAGCCTGTTCCGAATGTAGGCTTTTGCCGTGCGGCCAGGAGCTGGGATTTGCTGAGCTGCTGTGAGCTTCCATTGCTCAGGGTGGAAGATATCTGTGCTGCACATCAGAGAGCAGCTGGGTGTGTTATTGCCCCCGAGACACAACGAGGGCAGGATACTGTCATGATTTTCAATTCCTTCCTTTCCATCTCTACAGTTAGCTTTCTTCGGAGTGGAACCAAGCTCATCTTCCGGAGGAAGAGTAAGCAGAAGGAGGCAGGCCTAAGCCAGTCGCATGATGACTTGTCCAGCATTGCCACCGACTCCACTGCCGGGAAGAAAGCCGGCAGCTTCTCCCATCGCCTCATCAAGCGCTTCTCCTTTAAGTCTAAATCCAAACCCAAAGTTAGTGACAGCGTGACGGCAGGTGAGAACTGAAGGACGGAGAAGCTGTAAAGATTGCACAGAGATCCTTTTCTAGTCTCTTGTCTTCCCGCTCTATGGTATCTGTGACCTGTGGTCCGGTTCCTTTCAGCCTTGGCAAGGGAAGACGCCCCTGGTGCTTTATGCCATTTGGGGAACAGAGGTGGTGAAACCGGGGCTTAGGCTGCTCATCTGCCTCTCCTTAGCCCTTTCTGACTGTCATATCCCACTGTACTCTCCCAGAAAATCCAGGTTGTGTGCTAATCCTGGTGGAAATCCCAGGAGCTGTGGAAGTGACTCTGCACTTGTAGCCGTCTGGTGTTGCTGGGTGCATCCTGGAAGGAAGGGGGCAGTGGGGAGGCTCTCGAGTGGCAGTGCTCAGAGTTAAAGACGGAGAAACTGCTGGGTTAGCTACGTTGCTGAGAAGCGTGGGATGTAGCCTTGCTCAGTTCTGGTGGGAGAGAATGATGTGGTCGCTGGCCATCTAAATGCTCTCGTTGCTTCTGCGTGGTGCAGAGCCTGTAATCTGACTGAGGCATGGTGCGGTGTGTTCCCAGTCTGCGAGTTGTCAGGGGAACGAGCTGCGGTTCTTGGCTCTTGGAACAGCTCTGTATCCAAAAGTGCTGAGGGATGCCTGCTTTCTGCACTATGCAAATGAAGGAAGGAGCCTCTAAGAAGGAAGTTTAACCACCAGGCGAGTTTTTGTAGAAACCTGGGCCCTTGCAAGAATGTCTGGTTGGTGCTGTCAGCACTGCCACCCTATGACGCAGCCTTCCTTTCTCATCCGCGTCGTCAGATGGGAAATAGGCTGTGATGCACACGTGCACTGACCGTTGTATGAGCAGAACCCTTTCCCTCAGGGAGGTTGGGGGTGTTGCTGGGCAGGGCTGCCTTCCGGACTTGTGGGGTGCCTGCCTCTTGTGCTCTTGTGGTTCTTGCCAATGACCGATACCACACTGGGGATGGGGGTTAGGAATGTGGTGACCCTAGTGAAAGGGCAGTGTGAAGTCTAAAGCCATGTGGCAGAAAGAGGCAAGAGTTTATATGTTTTCACTTATGAAAAGGTTTCTTGTAGTAGAAAGAGCCTTTCTTGACTGCATCTGGTATTTCCTTTTTTTGAGCAAACCCAGTCCACTGCATTCAAACAGCAGGTGTTTCTGTAGTGGGTATTTGCGGAGGAAGAAGCACACGGGAGAAAATGAACTCCTTGTGCAGAAGGAAGCTGACCTTCTAGACAAATGGTTTCCTGCTCTGCTGACATGCGCCCTTTGTGAATATCCCGAATCCTTGTTCAGCTAGAGTAATGACGCTCTCAGAGAAACCCTTGTGTCCTGACAGCGTGCCTGGTTGGAATGACAGCTCCTGCTCTCTTGTGAGTTGTAGAGTTAAGGAGGTAGGGCAAAGAGGAGGAAAACCTCCCTGAAAAGCAGTTGTCTAGGCCTGACTGGGTTCACTAGTTCTGTTTTCCTGTTACAGTACCTCCCAGGTGGGAGCTGTCACCCTGTCTTGCGCAGGATGTGACCAACTGAAAAAGCAGTTGTTCTCCTGACAGGGTACATAAACCAACATCCCATTCTTTGGAAGGACACATTCTGGTTTACCCATATGGCCATTTCCAGAGACTGGAATGCATTCAGTATGCTGCTGAGAAAGGATTGACAGTCGTGTATTTTGGAGCATCTCTTGAAAGTGTCTGAAGGTTGGGGGTGGGGGGCAGAGTCACCTGCTGGGGCTTGCATTGAAACTGCTGGTGCTTGCCAGTGGGAGGGTTTCTTCTTTCCTGCCAACTCCCTATGAGGTTGAGCACATGTGAGAAATCGGACCAGCCCAGCTGGCTGACCAGGAACCTCTTCTCCATCTGTTTGTTTTGGTCCAAGAGTCTTTCTGTTCATCCCCGTGCTCTTCCATGTGTTTTGTCCTTTGTTTCTTCCCTCATCCATATGGTACCATGGCTTTGTTTTCAGCTCCATGTGCTGCTGATGTCAATGCTCACCATTTCTTGCTGAATGTGGATTTCCTTGATGCGAGCTTGTGGTTCCTGCTGTGGTGCTGGTGGAAGGTGGCAATATGCAGCTCTCCTCTAGCCATCTGGCAGCCAGTTTGATGTAGCCTTCCTCTGCCAGATCGGTGTGGCATTGCACATGGCACTGTCCTTTGCAGGCACACCCCTGTTCCCAGCACCTTGGGGTTTGGTTCCTTTCTGGGCATTCCTTCTCTCTTGCACTGTCCCTGCTACCCATCTGTCTCTGTCGCTCACGATACTCAGCACTCTGGTTTGGGTTTTCATGTTTCTTTTTTTAATGCATGTCAAAGTATTGCTTTGAATGAAAAGTGCTGGCTGAGCCCAAACAGCACCACTTCTCTAGTGATGTGGCTGTGAGCCTCGCATTAGAAGTGCTGGCTTGAATAGAAGGGAACTTCCAGACAAGCCAGCAGCTCTTCAGTTGCGGTTTATCGCAGGACTTTCTGTGGGTCTCATTTAATAGTCCTGTGTTCTTTTCTTTAAACAGCAAGAGCAGCTCAAGCTGTCTTGGTGTGGAGCAGCCAGAGGTGAATGCTCAAGGCTCCCTGCTGTGCTTCCAAAGCATGAGCCTGTGGCTTGCGTACTCAAGGAGATCTACAAGGCCTGGTGAGCCTTGTCCTTGTTGCTGTAGATCAGAGGTAGGAAAGGCAATTGAGGTTCTTGTCTGGCAAACGCATACCTAGATTTCAGCTGGAATGTTTTGTTCTCCCTTGGGGGAAAGAGACGATAGGAAAGCTAGGAGTGAAACCGATAGAGTTCTTCACTGGCCTTAGGGACCAAGGATGCCTTTCTAGCCATGTTAAAGAGGCAATTACTACCATGCATCCTTGGGCTTTCCTGAATTTGTTTCCGGTTTGTCTGCTGCAGGCAATGCCTGCTCATGTATCATGGTAGAGGTACTGGTTTTGATTTTGAGCATTGCCTTGGCAGAACACTCATCTGGGAATCTTCCTTTGCTGCGGTCTGTGGAACGAATGGTGCACAGGACATGTAAAAGTCGGTGCATATCTTCCCTTGAATTTTTTGGTGGTGCTTTTTATCATGACCTGTAAATTGCTGTGAAAGTTTCTATTGGGTTAGATAGTTGCGAAGGAAAGGGATATTGTCAAGTGCTGACAGTGCACGTCCCCAGCCGTTAATTCCCACACCTGCTTGTGTTTCCTAGCAGAGATATACTTTCTGCCATTTTGTGGCTTCTCAAAGTTGAACAGTGCAGGACTAATACTGTAACCTTTTATCTTCTTCTAAATGTTATTGGGAAGCGTGGAATATTTTTGAGGGTGTTTGGGTAAACTGCTGTTTTCACGGACAGAGGGGTAGGGGGAGTGGCTCAGCCACATACACTGGGAGCTTTTCAGTTCAGGTATGCTCCTGAGTAACGTGTTGATCCTTTCTCTTTGTGTCTGTGCATGGCTTCCTTTCTCACACACGCAGTCGTGTTTGTCCCTCGAGTTGTAGGCAGCTGGTTTTGCTAATCCTGGTTATGCAAGCACAAGTGAGTCTCTTGGCTTTCTAAAGCCAAGAACAGTAATGAATCTGCCTCACGAGGGAGGTATGATTATCAGTGTGAGAAACCATTCTTCTATCCTAATCTTCTTGGAAGGAAAGGGAAGGTCATGTAATTCTTTGGCCTCCAGAAAAAGTTAAGACACGGTCCCAGGGAGTTTTTCCCCATAGTGCTCCTGGCTTTTTATTCTCTGCTTGGGTTTAGGACAAGAAGAAATGCTATTTGAAATCTGCTTTTCCCTGCTTAACTTCTTCCGGATACCCGTGTCTTTGCCTCGGTGCCCTTGCATTTCATAATGCCCTGTGACCACGAAGCAACCCTAGTGTGTGGTGCAGGCCGCAATCAAACTTTTTAGAACCATCAGTAGTTGCCAGGTTGCTGTCTCAGGGTAGGCTTTATATCTGCACCTTGTGAAATTGGTCCTCAACCAAATATGTGGGGGAAGAATTGCTGACAGAGTGGCAGGCATGAATGTGGGGAGGCTTCTGAAGGAGTTCAACATGCTTATAGGGGCCTGCGTTCAAAATACTGCGTTGTGCTGCTGGCTGTAAGTATGCTTGTAAGTTTATTTTGCTCCAGATACATCCTCTCGCCATGTTTTGGTAAGGCTTGTTAAGAGCTTCCCCATGGGGAAAAAAAACCTTGATATCAGCTTGAGAGGGGTATCCTCTTTGAGGCGGGAGAAGATAGGCATGGGAAGAAAAAGAGGGAACTGCAAAACTCCAGCAATTTGGGGTGCCATAGGCTTTATCCTGACGGGTGCCTGACTGATGCCTGATAATTGAAGAGGGTGCTCGAAGGCGGAGGGATTGTATGTGTGCACGTGTTTGCACGCTCTTGTAATTAGAGTGTGCTCTGCGAGCGCCCATACCTGCCATGCTGCGAAATGATGGCACTGATTGGTAAAGTGGCCTTAACTGGCTTTTGTGATAGCCACAAAATATTTCTTACATGGACACCCTTTGGAGGCAGTCTTGAGCAAACAAGTCCAACTTCTGCCCCTGCAAACACCCTTGTGTGTTTGTGTAGCTGAGGACAGGCTTATAGGCAGATTGGCTAATGTGGGGAGAGCAATAGGAGTTTACTTGGGTAGAGAGCTAGTCGGAAAACAGTTTTGCGGATGGGAGGAGCGTAATGAAAGCTTATATAATAAAGTATATGTAATAGAGCAGAGGTGAGGGCCACAGGCACACTCTGTTTCTAGACTAGAACTGGGCAGGCGGCAAAATGTATGTTTACAAATGTTTTCATTCCACTTGTTTGTCTCTGTCATTGCTGCATCCTTCCTGCGATGGCTTCTCTCAGTTCATTGCCTGCTAAATAGAGATGTCATTTTTGGATAGCTGGCGAGATGCTTGAATGTTGGGTCGCTGGTGATTGCATGTTCTGGGGTCTTTAGCATCGTTCAACCCTCCCTCCCCCTGTGTAGGGCACAGTGTGCGTCACGATAGAGTAACAGTCCCGGTGGTTCAAACTTCTGGAAAAGATCTTTGTGTACTTGTGGTATTCCAGCTCCTTCTACAGGCATGACTGCTTCACGCCACCTTTTCTCGTGCATACAGGTACTGGACCAAATACCCACTCTGAGTTTGTATGTGCTCTTTTGTACTTTGATGCCTTCTCTCTGGGTGGATTTATTTTAATCCTGAATCATTTAGAGGAGAGAAAAAAAAAAAGAAAAAGGAACCATGTAGCTATTTAAGAGATGAAAATAAAATTACTTAATTTGGGCTAAATGAATGAAGTTCTTGCACCTTTGTAAATGTTGAAGAAGAATTCCATTGCTGTGTAATGGCTGAACCTGTTAACTTATTAAACCACATGGAAATCAAAACCTGACCCAGAGTCTGACTTCATCCCCACTGGAGTGCAAAGAGTTAGGCTTTTTTCCTTTTCATGGAGGGAGGTGATTTGTAACCCTCTCTGGTAGGACTTGTCTCTCAGCAGTCATTTTTGCCAAATGCAGATACATGGCCTTATTAAGACTGCAGCTAGGGTTTTAGCCTTGTGTCATGCTTCTAGGATGCAAGAGCTTCCTGAGATGTTGGCTTCAGAAAGCAGCATTCTTTATTGCAGCATGGGGCGTACACCTGAATAGTTTTGCAAAGGTGAGTATGCTGTCACTTGTTGACAGTGGCTATATATTTAGCATACTCATGCATATTCATAGCTCTTCTATGAACTAGTTATAATATTTGCATTCTAATTACGCATGAGCTTTCTTGCTGATGGGTGGGGCTCTTTTGGTTTTTGGTAGTGTTCCTCACTATGTTTACTGAATGACCTCAGTGCTGGCACATGCTTGCGAGGTTCTAGTGCTGTGTTAGCAGTTGGAATGTCCTTGCTTCTGTTCTGTTCCAGGGGTACCCCACGTTGGGCACCACTCTGAATCTGGAAGGCTGGCATCCTTGGTCTTACTGAGTCCTTAGTTGTTATAGTCCTGTGGTGTTCCTGCCCCATCAGCCGAACATTCCTTTTTCTCTACGTGTTAGCAAGTTAGCACAGTTTGCTCCATTCAGCTATGTTAGTTTGAAGTCACACACACTACTGTTAGTTTAAACCTATAAATTTAAGTCTACATCCCCAGTAAGTAGCTGGAGGATGTAGACTGGGCCTGGGAGCGCAGCCCATCGCGGCTGCGGTACCGAGTAAGTGAGCGGGTGCTGCCATCCTGTGAACAACCCTTGGTACTGCACGTGAGGAGACAGGCGCCGCTTTCTGCTGCCGCCCTGTGGGCAAAAGTCGGTACTGCAGGTGGTGGTGATGGCGGGGCGCGGTGTAAAGCTGGGCGCGGCAACCAGCGGCACGTGCGGGGGGCGGTGGCCGGTGGAGGCGGCGGGAGGTGTCCTGGTGGGAGTTGCTCATGGCCGGCGCCATCTTGGGTGTGGCCACGGGTTGGGGTTGTTGCTGCCATGTTGGGAGTCTGGGGGCAGCCGTATTGGTGAGGTGCCATTGGCGCCATTGTGTACGCCCCATTCCTCCATATTGAGGCCAGCCCCTCCCTCCTGCCGACTCATGCCCTCACCCATCATGGCGGCCGCGTTGCCGTGGTAACGGCCGCATCGGTCCTGCGCCGCCGCCATTTTTCGTTCCAAGATGGCGCTGGCGAGCGTGGTGCGGGCGGAGGCTCCGCTCCCGTCCCGTTCCCTCCTCCCGGGGCTCGCCGCGCCCCGGGACCCGGCAGGGCCCCCCGCCGGCATCGCCGCCCCCCTCCTCCGGGAGCTGCCGCCGCTGCTGCCCGGGCCCGGCATCCACCTCCTGCACGGCACCACCACCCTGGCCTTCAAGGTACGGACACTGGTGGGCAGAGAGACACATAGGGACCCATAGAGAGACATTGTGTGTGTGTCTGGGGGTGAGACCCACAGAGAGACAGTGGAGGGACTGGGACCCATGGAGAGACATTGGGCGGGGGGGGGGGGGGGGGGGGGGGGGGTCTGTGACCCATAGAGAAACATTGGGGGGTGCTGGAACCCATAGAGACCCCATAGAAACTCCATAGGGACACATTGGGAGGTTGGTATGCACATAGGGACCCCATAGGGGCCCATAAAGAGCTATTTTGGGGCAGCTGGGACACATAGCCACTGGGGAGGGCTGGGGCACATAGAGACCCTATAGACCCCCATAACCCACCAGAGACACCCTGTAAATTCCCATATTTCCCCATAAGCCTCCATAGACACACGTAAGCCCCCATTTTTACCAGGTAACCTCCCCATAGACCCCCATATCTCCTCTAATTCCCCCATAGCCCCCCCCCCCAGACCCCATTACGGGTCCCCAGACCCCCAAATCCTCCCATAGACCTCCCCATCCCCCCCCATAGGCCTCATAGGATCCCATTTAGGGACTCCAGACTTCCATATCCCTCCATAGACACCCTGTATCTCCCCATATTTCCCCATTGAACCCCATGCAGGGACTCCGGTCCTCCATATCTCCCCAATATCCTCCCATATTTCCCCCTAGAACCCCTTGTACTGGACTCCAGACTCCCAAATCCCCACAAAGAACCCCATAATGCGACTGCAGACCTCCATATACTGCACATAAACCCCCATAGAACCCTATATCCCCCCATATTCCCCCTTAGAACCCAATGTAGGAACTCCAGATCCCCATATCCCCCCATTCACCCCCATAAAGGGTCTCCACACCCCCACAGAACCCCTGTAGAGACTCCAGACCCCCAAATCCCTCCATATCCTCCCATATTCCCCCATAGACCCCCATGTAGGGATTCCAGACCCCTGTAGCCCCCTTAAACCTTCCGTAGACCCCCATGTAGGGACTCCAGACTCCAGGCAACCGCGCTCTGGCTGTTCCTCCGCAGCTGCCCCATGGCGTGGTGCTGGCTGTTGACTCCCGCGCCACGGCCGGCTCTTACGTGGCGTCGCAGTCGGTGCAGAAGGTGCTGGAGGTGAGCGCACGGGTGCTGGGCACCCTGGCTGGCGGCGCTGCTGACTGTGCCTTCTGGCAGCGGGTGCTGGCACGGCAGTGCCGTGTGTACCGCCTGCGTCACCGGCAGCACGCCTCGGTGGCCGCCGCCGCCAAGCTGCTGGCCAACATGGTGTACCAGTACAAGGGCATGGGGCTTAGCATGGGCACCATGATCGGCGGCTGGGACAAGAGGGGGCCTGGTGAGTATGGGTTGTGGGGGCTGGACACCATGGGATTGGGGGTTATGGGGCCAAAGAGTTAGGTATTGAAACATATGGGGTTGGGGGTTATGGTTTGGGGGTGATGGACACAATGGGGTTGGAGTTACGGTGCTTGGTGGCCGGGTTATGGCGTGGTGGACATCATGGGGTTGGGTGTTATGGGGCCAAAGAGTTGGGTATTGAAGGATATGGGGCTGGGGGTTATAGTTAAGGGGTGATGGATACAATGGGGTTGGAGTTATGGGGCTCGTGGTCAAGATTAGGGGGTGATGGACATCATGGGGTTGATGGTTATGGTGCGATATTCATGGTTGTGAAGTTAAGAACTTGAGTATTGAAGTATAGGAGGCTGGGATTATGGTTATGGGCTGGTAGATACCAGGGGATTGGGGGTTAAGGGGTGAGTGGCACCGTAGGGTGGTGGTTATGGGGCTCATGGTCAAGGTTAGGGGGTGGTGGGCACCATAGGATAGGTAGTTATAGGTTGGAGTTGGTTGTTGCGGGGTCAGGGAGTTGGGTGTTGAGTTATATGGGGCTGGTGACCATGGTTGTGGGTCTCTATTTCCTATGGTCCCCCACTGACCCTATTGCTCCCCATCACCCCCTAGGCCTCTACTATGTGGACAGTGATGGCACACGCGTCCCAGGCACCGCCTTTGCTGTGGGTTCGGGCTCGCCCTATGCCTATGGGGTGCTGGACCGCGGCTACCACCCGGAGCTGGAGCTGGAGCCTGCCTGCGCCCTGGCGCGCCGCGCCATCTTCCAGGCCGCGCACCGTGATGCCTACTCAGGCGGCCGCGTCTCCGTCTACCACGTGGGGCCCGAGGGCTGGCGCTGCGTCTCCTGTGACAATGTAGCTGAGTTGCAGGAGCGCTATGGGGCCGAGTGGGACGGCAACGAGTGAAGGAACAGTGTGGAACAGGCGGGTGGGAGGTGAAAACGGGCAAAACCGGGAAAAAACAGCTGTTTGGGGGCTGAAAACAGCCATTTTGGGGCCAAAACTGGCTGTTTGTGGGCTGAAAATGGGCAAAAATGGCTGTTTGCAGGCTGAAAGTGGTTAACCCTGGGTGTTTTGGGGCTAAAAGTGGCTGTTTGTGGGCCAAAAGTGGCTGTTTTGGGGCTGAAAACAGCCGATTTGGGGCTAAACCCGGTCATTCTGGGACTAAAAACGTCATTTGTGGGTTGAAAACGGTGTCCAAGGGGTGGTCATTGCAATGGCGCCATTCGGCTCCAGAGTGAACAGCGCCGGAGGGGGACGGGCCGGGGGGGAATGTACATGACACAGGTGTGTGTGGGGAAGTGGGTCCTGATTGATTAAGGGGGGGTGCGGAGCTGCACTGTGATTGGTGGGGTTGGAAGGAGGAGTGGGGCTCAAAGGGAGTGCAATGGGATGTGAGTAGCGGTTATAGGGGGTTTTGAATGGGGTCTCTGGGGGTCTGTGGGGATTAGAAGGGGTTTGGGGGGTGTGTAGGAGGTTAAAGGGAGGTTGGGGGATCTGGAGGAGGTAAAATGGGGTTTGGGGGGTCTATAGGAGGTAAAAGGGGGTTTGGGGGGTCTGGAGGGGGTAAAATGGGGTTTGGGGGGCCTATAGGAGGTTAAAGGATCTTGGAGGGGGGGTCTGTGGAGGGGTTAAATGGGGTCTTTGGGGGTTTAGTGGGGTTTGGGGGATCTGTGAGAAGTTCAGTGGAGTCTGTGGCGGTTAAAGGGGGTTTAGAGGGTTCTATGGGGGCTTAAATGGGGTCTATGGGGGATTAAGTGGTGTTTGGTGGGATCTATAAGAAGTTCAGCGGGGGGTTAAAGGGCTTTGGAGAGGTCTGGGGGTGGCTCAAATGAGGTTTGGGAGGTCTATGGGGGGGCTTAATAGGCTCTATTGGGGGTTAAAGGGGGTTTGGGGGTCTAGGTGTTTAAATGGCATCTGTGGGACTTAAATGGGGTCTATGGGCAGTTAAATGGGGTTTGGGAGGTCTATTAGGGGTTAAAGGGGGTTTGGAGAAGGTCTATGGCAGGCTAAATGGGTTTATGGTGGGTTAAATGGGGTCTGTAGGCTTCAGTGGGCTCTATGGGGCTCAGTGGGCATTATGGGACAGTCAGTGGGACTCTGTGGTGCAGGTGCTGGGCTGGTGCTGGGCCTTGCTGGCTGTGCCAGAGCCCTGCAGGAGCTGGACCAGCAGCACGGGCTCTACCTGGAGGGCAAAGGGGTAATTACAAGCTTATTCCCAGAGCTCTTCTGCCCATTCACACAGATGATCAAGATAGAGAGCTACACTGTGACTATAAAAACCTCAATACACATGTTCCAGAGTTCAAGAATTCCAGGTGAGGGATATCTTACCAACCCCAAGGACCCTGGGAAGACCATCAGCAAACCAGCTCCGACAATCATCATGGCAGTGCGAGGTGGCAGGCCCAACCTTAGCGGGCGTCCCCGCGCAGGCAACCTTCACCTGCCTGGGATGAGCTTCTGCCTCCCTCACACAGCATGAGGCTCGGGCTTTCATACTCACAAAAACGCACGCTCATTGCTACGCAGGGGGCCAGCCCACGTCGCAAGAAGCGGCCAAGCGTATCTAGGAAGGTCTCCCAGGGTCAGGACTTCTCCAGGCAGTTCTAAAGCACAACTCTCTGGCTAGGAACCAAAGCTGGACCTCGCCTGAAGCAGCCACAGCACAACTCTCTGCGAGGAGCCAAAGGCAACAAACACTACTTTCCCACCATTGCCTGGTTCACCAAGGACCATTACCTACTGCCCCTGACTTAAGCCCCACAAATGGCACCTTTTCACCCTGGCATTTAACTCCCACGCGCTACCTGCGCTAAAGAAATGGTAACATGCTGTGCAGGCCGTCATCTCCACCACCGCAGCCATCGATGCCAGCCTCTTCTGTAAGTCTACTTTGCCTTCTTAATATTACGTTAACATTCTACTAATGCATTGCAAAATACGATGCTGGGCTTTTCCTCCCCTCCAGGACCTAGGAGTACAATAGAGAGAATCGACCATGGTGCTTGCAAAAAGTGACGGACCCCCAAAACCACTATTGTTACCTCTCTGCCTCACCTCAAACACTCATCTGACTTCAGAGATAGAAGGGAGGACCTGCAATAATAAACACAAATATTGAACCTTTTGCCATGTTATTCTCAGGTCTGAGCCACCACTCACGCAGACAAGCAGCCTTCTACCTTCTCACAGCCCTCCTCAGCTGGCAGTTTCACCACTCTCGAGTTACTTGTGGCACCTAAAAACATAATTGAAACAGGCACACATTGAGAAAAAAATAGAAGCTGCAGCCGACCCTGAAATAAGTTACTACTTGGGTGTTTCAAGCATAGCTCACCTTGACTGAGTCCTCTGAATGGTAGTTTTCAGCTAGACAGTGAGAGTGAGTTTGAGCCTTATCCAAGTAGTTGGAACCAGAAGTTCTATGATACAATCAGTAAGAGATTTATGTGGCTGTATGAGCCAGTCAGTGTCAGACTGAGCCTAAGTGAGTGTGAGGCAAAATCTGAGCCAGAGAGTGTCCGTGCAGTTTAAATGCAAGTATGAGTGTGAACCAGTCTGTGTGAGAGGGTGCCTGTGTGGTCTGGGAGTCTTGAATGTGAATTAAACCACAGAAAGCAAGCCAGAAAATGAAAGCCGGGGAGCAGCCAATGAACCAGAGGTAGGTAAAATAAGACCCAGCTGTGGATTGTCAGGGTGTTTTTATCCCAGCTGGGGGTTTGCCCCACCCCTGACCCAGGGCACTGAGGGAAGGGTTGTGGGGGACACCCTCACTCCATAACACAGTCCAGCTGTAGCTGCCCTACCCATGTAAGCTCATGCTGCAAAGTAACCCCCTGTCTTCCCCTCAGCCCCATGCTACACTTCATACCCCTTCCTGCCCTTCTGACCTTGTCTCTCACCCTCCAGTCCCAACCAGCAATCCTTCTACTTAACTTCCATAGTGCCATGGGTCTCAAGCTGCCCTTCATGCTCAGGACACCCACATCAAAGTCTTGGGATCTTGCCACAGCTGCCAAGTTCCTCTGTATAACCTGCAACAAACAAAGGAACCAACAGGAACACCCTGTGCTGGCCATCATCATCACCACCACCCCACCCACCAATACTGGCCCAGTCTGTAACAGCCCTCTTCCTCCTTCAAAGCTCCTCAACATTATGTTTTCCTGTTCCAATCCCATAGTAGAGTCCAACACTGAGCCTCTCCTTCTCTCCAGGTCCTAGGAGTGCAATAGAGACAAATGACCACAGTGCTTGGAAAAAGTGACCGACCTCACAATCTTTCTCCTTACCTCCCTGACTCACCTCAAGCACTCATCTGACTCCAGTGGTAGAAGGCAGGCCCTGCAACACCAAACACAAATATTGAACTCCTTTGCCATGCTCTTCTCAACTCTAAACCACCAAACCCACACACACAACCCCCTTACCTTCTCACGGCCCTCCTCAGTTGTCAGCTTCACCTCTCTGGAGTTACCTGCAGCACCTACAAAAGAAATGGAAACAGGTACACACAAAGAGATATAGCAGCTGCACCCTGGCCTCAGCAACTATCATTTCTCTCTCCAGTCATTTCACTGCTCATCCACTAAACTTGAAAGGTTTTCCATCCCTTTATTCTAACATGTTCACCCCTTGGGAAACACTAACAAGAAGTAAAAAATACAGTTTTATGAAAATGATAAGACCATGAAATAAGTTGTTACTTGGGTGTTCTAAGCATGGCTCACCTTGGCTAAATAACCTGCATGTCTTTTTTTCACTTAAAATGTGAAAGCAAGTCTGAGCCAGGGAGTCTGTGTTAGCCTCAGTGTATGATTTGTGTGGATGTGTGAGTGAGTGAATGCCAGGTTGAGCCCAAGTCTGAGCTGGAGTGTCTGTGCAGTTTAAATACATGAGTCTGAGCCAGTCTGTGTGGAAGCAAACCCATGTGAGTCTGAGCCCCAGAACCTGAGACAGAAAAACCCTGTGTGGTCTGAAACCAAATATAATTCAGAGCCTAACTGCATAAAAGTGAAGCTGTGCAGTCTGTGAGTTCTGAATGTAAATGTAAGGCAGCAAAAGAAGGCCAAAAAGGTAAAGCCAGAAACCAAAAGAGCCAGCTGTACCTTGTCAGGCTGTATTTACCCCAGCTGCTGGTTTGACCCACCCCTGAGCCAGGGCTGTGAGGGAGGGGCTGTGGGTAGGGCCTGGGGTATATAAGGCACAGCTTCCAAACAAGGAGCTTCTATAGGGTTTGGCTCTCTTGAAGGTAAGGTGTTTGGGGGGTTTTGTGGATTTAATGCTTTGTGCTTTGTTTCTGCTTTTGTTTTTTGAGTTCTTTGAAATGATTTTTTCCTAGCTAAATATTTTAAGCTACTTTAGTATTTATGTGTGCATGTACCAGTAAACTCTTTTGTGCTGTGGTTTTCTTTGAGGTGCTATTGTTATTGGTGGTTTTGAGCTAAGCAGATTTTTTTGGTTGCTCTCAGGCACAGAAGTTATGGCAAGGTTTGTTTTTGTTCTAATTCCTTCTCTTTTGTCTCCGTTTCTTTTTGCATATGGTGGTCATGGTTGTGGTTACTGAATGTATATACTAGTTATATGACTAGGAGATTTTTCAAGGGTGCCTTTGGGTCTGTGCTCTTGTAAAAGCTAACTTGAATGCTTAGGTTTAAAGAAGACCAAAGCAGAACATTAATGTTGTTTTGGGATGTAGAAGCTGTTAAAGAAATGGTGATTTTTGGCAGGGAAAGGTTTAAGAATGGTTTTTAGCTTGTTTATTTCTCACTTTTAAAGTATAGAGGGTGCTGGTTCTTTACAGCTTGATGTAGTTAGTATTTCAGGGTGTTTGCCTCTAAAATGTTATGTGGCTGGATTTCTGGTTTCTGTTCTTTTTTTTCTAACTGCTGTTACTGCAGATGATGGAAATTAATTGGGTGGGTGCAGTAAACACCCAGGTGCATAGTATGGGATATCTGCGCAGTAATTTTGGCTTGAGACTTAAAACACTATGAAAATTACACAGAAAGAATAGTTTTTGTGAGAAGAGGGGTGGGGAACAGCATCAGGATAGCAGGAATAGGTCTGAAATGTGCCATAGGGATGAGAAGAAGAAAGTGGGGCATTTTATAGCACCATCTTACAGTGGGTTGGGTAGTACAGCTTGTCTGCTTCAATGAGTGTATTTGATTGTGATCTGTGTTGGTGCTTC